TTAATTTTTGTCCCAGAGTATAACTACAAAGGCCTTTGAGATATAACATGAACCATCATAGGTGGATAGATCTTACTCAGGAGGTGATAACTCTACCCTTCATATTTTTTGAGTTATTGCCTTTGTTATTTTTCATACTAAATTTTTCAAACCCTGAGTGGAGCATATTTTCTAAAAAAGCTTGTGAAATGTCAACATGAAAACTTCATAGGTGGATATAATCTTATTAAGGAAGAATGTTGTGCACAAAAATGATAACTTTACCCATTATAATTTTTGAGTTATAGCCCTCTTGTTATGATAACTTTACCCATTTATAATTTTTGAGTTATAGCCCTCTGTTATTTTTCATACCTTTTTGTCAGGAGCTTATTTCAAAATTGTTAGAGGTTACAACTTCATAACTTCAAAGCCATTGAAATATTCAACATGAAACTTCATAGTTAGATAGATCTCACTCAGGAGGTGTGCAGTGCAAAAGAGTGATGACTCTATCCTTCATAGTTTTTGAGTAATGCCCTTTGCCTACTTTTTTTCATACTGTAATTTTTACCTGAGTGGAAGCATAACTCAAAAGGTCTTTGAGATGTCAACATGAAACTTCATTGGTGGATTGATCTTATTGAGGAGGAATGTTTTTGCGCAAGAATGATACCCTTTATAATTTTTTTTGGTTATTGCCCCTTTGTTATTTTCAAACTTTTTGTCCGGAGCTTATCTTCAAACAGTGTTTAGAGGTATTAACGTGAAACTTCATAGGTGGATAAATCTCATTGAGGAGGACAGTGCGGCACACACCTACCGTGCATTATTTTTCAGGTATTGCCCCTTTGTTACTTTTCAAATACTTAATTTCGTCCAGAGCATAAACTACAAAAGCCTTTGAGATATCAACATTGAAACTTTCATTGTGGATAGATCTCACTCAAAAGAGGTTGCAGTACACAAGAATGATAAATTATTTCTGCTCTACTAACATATACATGGCCTTGTAACAAGTTACATTACAATACTTAAAAACTTTTTAACAAGTTCACCCTGTCAATATAACTAACTCAATGCTATTTGGAGATACCTTAACATTATACTTATAACTGTTTTTTTTTTGTATTTTTTCTTTTTTTCGCCGTGACAATCACATTTCCCAGCAATTTTTTACTTGTATTTAAATATATTTGATTGATAAAATTGTGTATGACGATATATTTTTTACAAGTCTGAAATAAAGGTTCTGTTCTGTTCTATTCTGAAGTTTGTGTGAATTGTTTTTCTTAATTACTTTTATTCGCTAAATTGGTGACATATAGCTTTAAGGAAGGACTTTATTCAAAAAAAAATTAATTAAAAAGAATCAAAATAATTGAACGACAGAAAGTTACATTTATCTAATATATATTATATATATATATATATATATATACTATATATATACTATATATATATATATATATATATATTATATATATATATATATCTTTATAATGTACGGAAACACAGTAAAGTCCATTTTAAGACATAAAAATACATTTTTTGGAAAAACAGAGAATATAAAAAATATAATAACCTTAAATATCAGAAGATTCTTTTGTTTCTACTCTGGGCATTTAAGTCAGGCTAAAGTTTATTCTTGTAACATAGGCCTTCGGACCCAAATACAAAACAAAACAAACAAAAAGTACAAATTCAATGAGGTGATCATAAATATACATAGGATATTGTAATATAAGCATTAACAGTCAGTGATAAGATATTTTAAAAAGACACATTTTTCCAAAAGTGTAAAATAACAATGTAAATAGTTTTTACCTTCTTTTACGATGTTTTATTTTTTATCCATAGGTGTGCACTGTAGAAAAGAAGTCAACGAGTGTGATGTTTACCCTTGCCAAAAACGGTTGGCACGTGCAAAGATCTTGTTGCAGACTACCAATGCACGTGCAAATCGGGTTTTACAGGTATGACCTTGTCATTCACATTGTGTTTTATTTAGCTGTAAAACATGTGATTAAATAAATTAATTAAAATATTTTTTTTTTGTCTGATCCATATTATCATGCGCTTAATAAATATATGAAGGGAATGAAAATATAAGAATTTTAATAATTTTTAATTCTTTAGCCACTCCTAAAAAAAAATGAAATTGATATTCTTGTGCATTTTGACACAGCTGTAAAATGTGCCATGGAGAGGATAAAATATCCATGAGTAGTGATTTTACTGTGAACATTTTTTTGACGATGTTATTCTGAATAATTTTCTAGGAAAGAAATGTGAGGCAGATTATTGACGACTGGTATTGGTTCACCGTGTTGATAATGGCGGCACGTGTATTGATGAGGAACCAGCGGATTCTCGTGCAGTTGTGCCAAACGGGGTTTGAAAAGGTAATAAATAGTTAAATTCACTCCCATTTAATTATTTTTCCGCTAAAACATTTTCTTTTGTATACAAAAACTTGGCGGCGTTTGCGTTTGTTCACTTAAATTAAGTTTTCGTTTAGGTCATTAATCAATAATGAACAACATATAACAAAGAGATACTTTATATGTGGATACATCTTGATGTGTTGCAATAATCAAACATATATTTTTCAGATGACTAAGGCCAAAAAGGTCAAGGTTTTTGGTACTAAACATAAAATCATAATATGCAAAAACGATTTTTGCCTAGAATTTCAATTTTTTACGTAGCTGCCCAATTTATTAGTTTACCTGCACACCCATTTGCCGTGAAAGGTCGAGATCACTGGGGGCCTGATATAAGAAAACGTTAAAGTTAAGGCCACAATGACTTTTTTTTACGTTTTGAAAGTTTATTTTTTTATTTAATACAGAAAATGATATTGGGTTAATCCGCATTTTTAGGCAAAAGGTCAAAGGTGAAATGAATTTTTTGAAAGTTTTGTTATTCCCTTTTTTTGGGGAAAAACTGATGATAAAGAAATTATAGAAATAGCTAAAGTTTCTCGAAAATTAAATTTTTAGGGTTTAAATGAAATGAACATTTCTTTTCTCTGTTCAAAATTTTGTTTTTACTTCCCATTTTTACAAAAGGGCATTTGGTTAATGGCGATTAAATTTTTAAGAAATTTTAAGATTTAAAATTAAAATTTGGGAATTTAAAAAAGGTATTTTTTACTTTAATAATGATTTAAGCCGTTTTCCATTTTTAAAGGGGGCATTTATTTTTCTTTTTATCCTGATCGTAAAACGTAAACTTATAAAGCCCCAATTTTTTTCTTCCTTATAATTGTCAGTATTCAAACGTTTTTTAACAAAATTGAAAAATACTAGCATTCGTATTTTGCAATTGTTGATCTAATTTGTAGGTTCTATGTGTGAAGTTAATATTAACGAATGCGAGTCAGGCCGGTTTAAACGGGGACATTAAAGATATGGGCCGGGAAAGAGGTAAATGCCCCCAGGAATCAGGGAGAGAAAGGAGATTTACAATGATTGTGCTAGGGACTTTGTCAAAGACGGGGGATTAAGGATTGATGGAAGTTTAAGTATGATTTAATTTATTAATTATGAAACGCCATTTTAATCATGATCACTTATATTCCATAATGATATTGTTGAAAATTGAGTGTGCATGATTGTTTATTGTTACATGTAAACCCAAAGGTTCCTTTAGCCATAATTTATGTACTAGTCACAGAAAAAAAATATAATTTTATTTGAGAATTAACTAATCAAATTGCAAAAAGAGGCACCAGTATTGGTTTTATATTGGTTACAATATGCTAAAATGTAGAATTAACTTTAAATTCTTGTTTTGGTAGAACATTAAATCATTCTTCTTCGTACTGAGATATGTAAGTCTCTGTTTAGGTCAGATATCTTTTTAAAATAGATAAACTTTCGTAACATTTTAATATTGTCACGTGGTTTGAAGTTATAGCCCTTGATTATCTTGCATCCTCTTAATTCATAATGGAAAGGTTATCTTATAGCAGGTGAATTATTTCACAGCATATATCATATCAAATCCATTTCGTCTCAATTTTTAAAGAACTTGTGGCTTTAATGTTGCTCTTAGATATATACATTGGCTAATATACTCAGATTACTCTCCAAATAGCAACTTTTTAAAATCATACTTAACTTTGAAAGTTTTGAAATGAAATGATAAAATACGCTTTGAACGTATATATTGATTGATTTATTTAGTTATTTAAACAAAAGTTCATTTAGATAATAATTCTACATTATTTAGTGTTAAATTATTAAAATATACATGTTTTCCTCGTACAGTAACTACATAATGAAATTTTTAAAAATAATTATTTTTTTTCAAATAGGTATTATTTTTCAAGTCTTTTTTTAAATATGGCCCCAAACAACAAAAAAAAACTGGCATCTTTTATTGATGAGTATCTTCTATGTTTTGGGAAATTTTTTCGTATGAATTGTTCTGTTTTTAAATTTAAACTGCATGTAAAACGGTTTTAAAAATAAGAAGCGGGGACTTTTAAAACGACGAAAGGGGGAGCAATCCTGCCATCCCGGGGCTAACGAGGGTTTGATTGGGAGTTAAAATGTCACTGTCCAACGGGAAAAAATGGCCAGATTGTTCTACACTTGTTTTTTTAATTTGCACATCGTTACTCATGAGTATCATTTATCTAAAATCCTAAGACAACAAATTTTTTGCTAAAACCAATTTGGAAATGTCTATTCGAAGTCTTAGGGAAGGAAAACTTATTATAATAAGCTACCAACATACAGGACCTATATTGGAATAGGTTTAATGTGAAAAGTTCAGATATTCTCTTTATACCGGAACACTTTTACATTACTAAAAAGAAAAATAATAGTTGTTTAGATTTTTTTGTAACTTCAAAAAAGCAAATACGATTTCATTTGAAATTTCCCTTATTTTGCAAAGAAAAATAAACAACAACATTAAAAACAATAACAAAGTAAAAACGGCAACATTTACTAAATTGTTAAAAAAGTAATGTGAAAGTATTTGCCAAACCAGAGTAAAAAATTGTTTTACAGTCATCGATACAAACTTTCAACTTGTTTTTCCTGCCACGGTCAGTCACATGGACTACGCACGTGTTGACATGAAACAAGACTTAACGTCTGCAACCGTCTGCTTTTGGATGAAAACAGACGACCAACAAAACCAAGGCACACCATTCTCCTATGCAAATGACGATGGCGACAACATGTTCACCCTGACTGACTATGACGGGTAAGAAATCTAAAAATAGAAATATAGACGGTTTTCGTACTTTTCAGAATAGACAATATTTACGACATTTACCAAGAATTGATAAAAGAGGAAAAGTTTCATTGGTCAAATATTACTTTATATTTAAAATCGACCTTTGTTCAATATTAAACCCATGTACATGTGAATCACAATGTACTGAAGGCGGCTTGGTCAATGTTTCCAGTTGAGGATTTAAATTTCTCCAGACGGCGGCGGAGAGACGGGGCGGCTAGAAGTCGGTGCTGGGGAGAGGGGCGTGAGAGATGTTGCACTTTCAATGGCCATGGATACACACAATGAAACCAAGTTCGCGACTTTCAACTATTTTCTTTTTTTGTATTTGTTTTCATTGCTTTTCCGAGGGAACTGATGATTGCACGTAACACAATATTTCCGATTTTAAATGCGTATAAGGATACCTGATTCACCAGTTAAAACAGTTTTCATATCATTGTTCAAGGTTTGCGTTTTATGTGAATGGTGAAAAAAGAACCACAACGGCAAAAGCAAACACAGGAAACTGGCATCATGTCTGCCTCATGTGGGAGTCAAATCGAGGTCAATGGAAGCTCTACATGGACGGAATTCCAATGGACAGTGGCAGAAGGCTGTCGAATGGACAAACGATCAAAGGTATTATGTAGTTTTTTTTATTAATCACAACATTGAAATATTTTCCCACTTTTTTAATTCGGACGCTTGCTCCAAATTACCTGCCCCTCGTCTTTGTCTGTTCAAATGCGCAGGGTCTTATTATACTATATGGTTACTGGTATTTCAATTCAAATGATTTTAATTGGTGATTATTTTAAACCAAGGTTTACTTGTAAAATTTCCTTTTGAAACAACTTCTTCTCTTTTTTAAAAAAAAAATTTTTAAAATTTTGAGGGTAATAAAAATTAATCAAATTTTTTTTAATTCCAGTACTTTTCACACAATTTTAGCAAACCTAAAGGGGACGTCATATGGGCGCTGTCATTTTGAAATGGACGTCACGTCAGGTTACTTAGTCAACGATAAAAAAATATTTTTAACATTTTGATAATATTACTGACTTTTTGAAAAAAATGAAAAACATGCCTAGAGATATTGAAGTCAGGGTTAACAAGACATAAATTTAAATAGTTTTACCATTCTATTAAATAAAAAAATGAAATATTCAAATTTGGTGGAACAGACTATAATTACCTTCCTCATGAAGGTCTTAAGAAGGTTTTACACGGCTACTTGCTCGTGCTTGAAATAATGCACTGAGAACTCAAACATGCTAGTTAATTAACATGTTAATGTTTTCGGGTTTAATATACGTCTGTTAATTGATGAAGTATCATATAAATAAAGCTGTTCTTTTACGAGGCAAGAAAAACATTTTTAGAATGGCGATTGTCAGGTCCATTAATAATCTAACTGTTAAGTTTGTTGCCATTTCCAAAATAATCTGGCGGAAACCAAAGATTATCCGAACAAGTTTGCTTCTTTAAAAAGAAGCATGCGAGAAGTCTTTTTACAGCTGTTGAAGATTTGTTAAATTGTTCAAATGACAGGAAAGTAAGAACTTCTAATTATTGTCATCTGCGAACAAAAGCAACATATCAGCTATTTTCGTCAGTCTGTCAGATTAGGAATAATCGGCGAGGTGTTCAGCAAAATTTCCATTCACGGTTCATAAGGTCATTAAAAAGTGCTTGGCTGTTTTGTTACGAAATTATTTGTTTTAACAGAAATCTGCCTAAAACACGTTTTCGCTGAATATGTCCAACATTTAGAACTCTTAGCTTGTATAGATCAAGTAAAAGTGAAAGCATGATTATAAAATCAATTAAAATAAAATTATGCATCACAATTATATACTAGCAACAGTCTAAAAGCAAATTTAACACTCACTAACAATCACTCTTCAACTCCAAGAAACTCAAATAACCCCAACAAAAAGCACATGCAGCTAGCATGCATCATAAATTAAATACATTAATATAGATCAATAGCATAACATTTGTTCCACATTGCATCTTACAAATTCGCAGTAAATACAGATCTACAGATACTACAAGTAAAAATGAAAAGGGATTGGAACCGAAGCTTATAAATGCTTTGTTTTTTCAGTATTCTAGCTCCATTTAAAGCCCAATGAACGATGAACTTAATTGTTTTTTATTCAAAATTGAAATCTGACCTTTTGCATGTTTTAAATTTTGCAGTCATACGTCGCTAAAGAAGTCATTTCAATTTTGCATAAAAACAGTGCAACTTAGTGCAGCATAAACTTGCAAAAAGTAAATATATTTGCACTTTTATGGTATAACTATTCTTTAAACTTGTCAACCGCAGAAAAATAAACTGAGAAAATCCCCTTTATATGTATAATTATAGACAAAGCAGTCATGAAATCTGATATTTTTTCTAAAAATACCTATTGTTGCGCAACTTTGGCATAATTAAAACAAGTGTGTCTGGGAAAGACCTATACTGGCTAAGTGATGAGGAATGATCATATCTAAAAATAACTGAGCTGTGCCAATGACCTGAACTGTTATAGGCCCTACTTTCATAGAACTACTGCGCAAACATGACTACTGGTTCAGTTCACCATGTGTATTAAGCGTGAAGCAGAAACGCGAACTATGGAATGGCTACGAAAATTTTGTGCTATTTTAAGAAGAAGATTTACCGTTTACATGCGCCATTAGCTCTTACGTGATTTCTTGCAAACAGATATTAAGGAAGTGTTGTAAGTAAGGAAGTGTAAGGAAGTGTCAAAATTCCAAGTACAATTTTATAGACAGATATATAGCGTAATACATTTTCATTTTTTGAGTAATGAGATTAATAGCATTGTTTTTTGAGAAAATATATACGTTCACGTTGAGTATTTTTGTGAAGACAGCCAGCCTATCTGTAGTTGCTTTGATTTTAAATTAGACAAAAAGTAAACACTTTTCAAAGGAATTGTTTTCTTATAAAGGTGGTGGACAATTCATCATTGGACAGGACCAAGATACGTTAGGTGGCGGGTTTTCCAGTCCCGAAGCATTTATTGGCCAAATTACTCAGCTGAACATGTGGAGTAGAAGTCTGTCTCTAAGAGATATTGAATCACTACGAATAAATTGTTCGTCAGAAATGGGTGACGTCATAGCCTGGGCGGATATATCCGGGAAAACAAAAGGCGCCGTCTCTGATACACCTGCGGAGTTTTGTAAAGGTAAAAGATATAAACGACCGATTTTTTTGCAACGGCAACGAGAATGTCGACATTACTGTAACAATACCTCTAACTTTTTATTCAAAAAAATAATGTCGAGCTAAAACGTTAGAACTCTATAAATCACTGAAAGCGTATCGGTAGTTAAAGCTGTGTGTTGGTAGTTAAAGCTGTGTGTCGGTAGTTGAAGCTGTGTGTCGGTAGTTAAAGCTGTGTGTGGGTAGTTAAAGCTGTGTGTCGGTAGTTAAAGCTCAAAGCGTTAAGCTGTGTGTCGGTTGTTTAAGCTGTAAGCATTTACCTAGTTCAAACTATAAGAGATGTTGTATTTAGGCTGTAAGTTTTTATATTCCAGCACAAGTAGCTGGCTGATATACTAGTTATATCCGGATGTACGTGTCTATATAAACATGCATAGCATTTGAGTATTAATGACCACACCTTAAAATAAAATACATAAAGCATTTGCACTATTTACTATTATGTTGGTAAAAGAAATATACAGCAAACACTATATTCAATAAGAACAATTAAAAAAGGTTATTGATTATTGTTGAATTATTGCACTGAGTTCATAAATTTGATTTATTATACTAGTAATTATGAACTTTACAGTAGTCCTATACCATTCCATTTTCTGAAAACAACATTTTTGAAAAGGATAAAATACAGACGTATTTACGGAACTATTTTACTGAATTTATGCACGTTTACTACGGCTATTAAATTACAGCCTGTCCGAAACTATATGATATCAGCCATGGCAATGTTACCTACACCGGTTTGACCGCGGGATCAGAGGCCTCGTATAGATGTAAAAAAGGATACGACCTAGCTGGTCGCAGGACAAGACTTTGTATTATTACCGGAGAATGGGAGGGTAATGTGCCAGTATGTGCAGGTATGGTTTACAATCGGACTAGATATTTGAAGCTATATTATAGAGTTGATATTTGTCAAATTGGTCTGGTTACCTGTTAGCAAAGTAAATTGTTAACGATAATACTTCGCACATTTGTAATGGCATCGGTAGCGATTTATTCGGAGAGAAAACATGACTTTTACCAAAAATACACTACATTGGCCATATAACACCGTTTTCATTTGTTAATGCGTTTATTTAATTAAATGTTCAATGTTAATTCAATTGTTTCCAACAAGCAGTGAATCATAACCTTCCGAGAAGAAGAACAACAACAACAAAAATTAATAAAAAAATCAATGAAATAGAAAAATAAAATGAATACGATGTAAACAAATAGTGTCATTCTTATCTAATAGCAGACATAAAGTACAAATCAATAATGATTATTTGTTTTGACACTTAGCCGTACAGTGTGGACATCCCGGAGGGATCTTACACGGCTGGACCGAGGGTGAGCGTTTTACATATGATAATTGGGTCCGTTACAGATGTGAAAGAGGATACGAATTGATTGGTCCTGCAACAAGATATTGCGGGGAATTTGGCTTCTGGGAAGGCGATATTCCTATTTGTGAACGTGAGTACATTTTTTTCTATTTTTTAAGTTGGTATACTGGCCAGTCATGTTTTCTTTAGTATAAAAAAATACCTTCCGTTGCATATAAGTACACTTTATGAAAGAAAACTGAAAAACCCTACATACAATTATAAGAATAAGCACAATCAACTCGGAGCTATGTAGGCGGTAAATATCTAAAGTTAATTCATATAAATAACTGGAATGCCGAAACATTTAAATAATTCTCATCACAGTACTTTATCTGTCTAAAGCCGTCGTTTTCTTGTTATCTTTAAATATTTATTTGAAAAGCGCCTTGTTTAGCAAGATCTCGTGTCGTTCCACATCATGCTCATTAGAAATTTCTTATTGTCGGAAAGTGGCGAATTATCCGACATGCTCATATTATGACGCATGCAAACATCAAACAAGTAAAATGGTTTCCTGCGGGGAACATTTTTAATGATATTAAGATATTTCATTTAACGATTTCAACATTTTTATTTATTTTTTTTTTGGGGGGGGGGATAAATAATCGTTTGTATCAGGAATATAGATCAATATAGGAGAAGGTCTTCGGAAACTGGTGACCGTTGATGACCGGAGAAGGTCGAACATAAAACAATTATTTCCTTTTTAAGAAAATGATTAAATAGGCCTACCATTTTATGAATAATTCCGAGCAAAATAAATAAATAAATAAATAAAATAAAGTAAACACACAAGTTTACGCAGAAAATATCTCTATTTATTATGGCAGATGCCACTACGAATATTTTAATTTTGTAGATTTTCAGTATAAACAATTTATTTTTTGTAAAATTTTGGAGACATAATAAAGAAACATAGATAATTTTCAAACACATCATTCAAGATTTTCCACCTTAAACGGTAACATAATTAAAGAAAATTAGAAATATCACGTAATAGTTTTTTGTTCTTAATTAGGTGTCACTCTGACTAATTCCCTAGAGGATTATCTGTAACGTACCGGCAAACGGTATTTAGCCAGGTTATCGAAAAGGTCAATTAACCAATCATGTACGGTTTACAGATCACATGCTCCTCCATGTACCGAAAACAGGTCACGTGCTCCTCCATGCCTCAAAAGTAAAACGCGTACCAATACCCTGCGGTCTCCAGACCGCAGGGAATGATGTTCAAAAATAGTATTTAACTCCATGGAGGTCAGTAGTATATATATATTTGTGTTAACACAAATTAATATGTGATTGCTCATGTTTATATTGCGGTGAAAAGCAATAGTTTCGAAATAGCGACCGTTTGAAAATAGCATAAAAGGAAGTAAAATAACGCAGATGGAAAAAATGTCGACAGAGACATAAATTGTTATGGGCATATCGGCTTCATCTGTTACAACAATTTGTATATTTTATTACAAAACTCGTTTTAGTGCAAATTTGGAGCAATATTATATCATCGCAACGAGTTTTGCAATAAAATTGTCAACTCTTTTCTTTTGGCTAATTTAAAAGTAGTTTAAGTTTCGAAATCAGAAACCGATTTAGTGTCACAACAATTTTGCTGTTTTTGGACATTCTTTGGAAATTCTTTATTTCTCCCCTTTTTATTGCAACAGAGGTGAGTTTTGCACTAAAATTGTAAACATTTCTTTTTATTTTTTGGAAAGTAGTTGTTAGTTTCAAAATCATAACACGAACATGTAAGCATCAAAACGAGTTGTGTGGCAAAGTATTGCAAAACTTCATTAGTTTAAGGATAATAAAGATGAGCTGATACTCTTTCAAACCACTAATTATACATATTATACGCAAAGATATGTAAGAGTTTTTTTTTCGGACAGTTTTTTTATTGGTGTTTACGTCACATCGACTCAGTATAGGTCATATCGCGACGTTCCAGCTTTACTGGTGGAGGAAGACATCAGGTGCCCCTCCGTGCATAATTTCAGGCACAAACGGGCACCTGAGTAGAACTTTTTTCGGATAGAAACAAATGAGCCATGCCATGACAAAACCAACAGAATGGGTTTGCGACCAGCATGGATCCAGACCAGCCTGCGCATCCGCGTAGTCTGATCAGGATACATGCTGTTCGCTTACCAACCATATTACAAGTAGAGAAATTGATAGCGAACAGCATTGATCCTGATCAGACTGCGCGGATGCATGCTGGTCGCAAACGCACTATGTTGTTTTTTGTCATGACGCGGCTCAAATGTTGAATAATATTTTTGAATTGAACTACTTATATTAAAAAATTATATAACAATATTTAATTCAACCCTTGAAATAAGCTGCTATTTCAGCCAAATATATTTGTCAAACAAATATGAAAAATAAATATGAAGGTTGGCCGAGCCAAAACTAGTATTTATTTTTGGGACTTCTTTCTCAGATATTTTTCTTTTGCAACAGATATTCATTCATTTCATCATCGGAAATTATCTGGTTATGTTTTTTCAAGACAGTTTTGACTTTGATAAATAGTGATAAATAGTGTATTGAATTCTAACCGCGCCACGCACCTTTAAATAATCAATGTCTTTCTACGCGCTGTACACTTTCAACTGCATAGCATATAGGTGTATTTGTAAACAACTTTTTCCTGAAAGTTAAATTAAATAAAAAAAAATATTTTTCGTTTTTCGTGAATTATGGAATATATTTTCACTTGATATGATAAAATTCTATATGTTTCACTCGCCGTTCCGGCTCGTGAAAATATATTCCATATTTCACGAAAAACGAAAAAATAGTCTCTTAGGTTTTATTGCAAAACTGATTTGGGAGACAGTGGCGACAGACTTTTGTCACCAGAACCAGTTCTGCAATGAATTTAATTTGCAAAACTCGTTTTTATTGCAAATCGTGGTGTTATATTATGTTGTTACGTCACGGCATTATGTTTGCTGTGGGACG